ATCCCTCAAAGACTCTCTTCTCCTCCTAAAGTCTCCACGGATGGACCTGTACATTGCATCCAAATGTCGGAACATCCTTTCCGAATGTTGTCCCTCTCGCCTCTCTCGAAGAACAACATTCGGCGGGGCAAGTTGTTTAAAGACATTTTTCAACACCTTGATCCCCAATCAATAAAGCCTAACAAACAGTGGAAATTTTGACAGTCTCAGAATAGCTCTAGAATAGCTTCTACAAATGACTCTTCACTTTCACTTTTCCTCCCACCGCCCTCTTGTTCGTTTGAACAACCACTCTTTCTTCCCCTTAGGATCAAGGGCTCTCTTGACTCTCAAACGAGAAAGGCCTTTAGGGACGTAGGGGTCATCCGCGTGGCCAAAATCTTCATAAGGACTTTCAAAAGTCTTCTGCTAAGTTTTATCGCATTCCGACATGTTTAAGGCAGCGCAGACTGAAAAACAGTTTCGACAAAATCAACGTCTAGCACCTTGAAACGGACCCTATAACTAGAACTATATTTTCGGTGTCTTAATTTGCTGTGGGACCACAACCATTGGATCTGACATGGTTGAAAACCCTCAGGGGTCAGATTTTAGCTTGAACTGACATCCCAGGAAGAAGTTATAAGAGAAAGAGCAAAACAGGAGGAGCCGCAGGCTATTCTTGTGCGGCCACTCTGCAACTCAACTCCATTAAAGGGGCAGTCATGACCAGTGACTTTAGATGCTCATATCTTACTCATCTCAAGTCGAATCATGCTATTTTATGAGTGTGTTGTCTCGTCAAGACGAGCATTTTGATATGTGGTACGCCCCGCGGTGACACCCGAGCACGAGAAAAGCTAGAGAGAAGTTGCTGATCTGTGAAGAAAGTGCAGGAAAATCAGTAGCATCGTGCCTCGCTCGAGCAGCCAAATCACGCCGCTAGCGAGCCCATCGACGTGAAACCAATTCCATCATGTGCGTAGGGTTTAGGGCTATCTCTAGTCTGAATCCCGTACATGATGAACGGTCGGATTCCGCACACGAAGTCGATGAAGTGGTCGCAAATTTCGTTGCCGAAATTCCAGATTTCGGCCAAAACTCTAAAGTTGCAAAATCTTTGTCCAGGCATAGAATCGAGCTGCGTTTGTTGCCCCGTAATTGTGACAGCATGCTTAGTGTGATCCAACGAAGAAATCACAGAAAAACATCAAGGAATTAGCACACTATCGATCCAAAGTTTCAAGATTCATCTAAGATTTAAATCACATGATCGTGCCCTAAAAGCACGATCCATGGCTCAAAGTTGGTATCAAATCGATCTCCATGCTGAACCCTACAAGAAAACAACCACCTTTCGATCAAACGGGCATCAGAATAACCTTGTATCATCCATGAAAAATCACACAAGTTCTAGGGTAGCATACGGACTATTTCAAAATTTCATAAATTGTTAGGAATGGGCAAATCTATCATTTTGCACCCCATTTTTCTATTTCTTTTAATTCAGATAAATTTTAATTTCCAGCAATTACTTTTAATTTTGATCAATCCACTCATGTTTGCGCACAATTCTATATATACCACGTACCACCATTGTACGCAAAAGACTTGAATTCGCCAAAGAGAATTTTTACTTAATAGAATTCCCTTTCGTTCTCATTGTTGGGTCACGTTTGGAGAGAGAGAATAAGGAAAGATAAACTTTTGCGATGGTACCCCTAGGCTCAAGGTAAATCTTCTTTCTCTTATTTTCTTTCTTCTTCTTCTTCTTCGTCTGAGCCTCCCTCAGAGGCCATGTATGGCAATGGCAGTGTCGTGCATGTCTCTTTCTTTTCTTTTTTCCCCATCATGTAGTTTCATAGGTCGCACATGGTGATGCCAGAGCCACGCGCGAGCTCCTTTCCCCTTTATGTTAGTTCATCTCTATCTCTCAGCGAAGCTTGCATAAGGCACTGCTCATCACCGTCCGCAGATGTATCCACCATGCCTCAATAACGAACACAGACGGTGAAACTTATTACCTCCCGCACGAGTTTCCCCCCTGTTGTGCGCCTATCGCAGACGGCGATACCTATCGCCGCCCACAAGAGGTGGTGGCAATACCTATCGCCATCCGCAAGCTTCCTTCGAGAGCTCGTTGCCTAATCGTCGTCCGCCAGCTTCCTTTGTGCCCTCGGTGCCTATCGTCGTTCGCGTGCTCAGTGTCTATCGCCATTTGCAAGCCTTCTTCGTGCGATTGGTGCCTATCGCCGTCCGCAAGCTTTCTTTGTGCGCTCGATGCCGATCGTTGTGCGCAGGCTCTTCTTGCGTCCCATGCCTATCCGTCGTGTGCCTTGGCAAGAACTGTTGCCACCTCACAAATGGCTATCGCTGCGCGCTTCACAAGAGGTTATCGCAGCCCGTGCAAGGGTGTGCTGCCTTCTTGTATGGTCTCAACGACGATGCCTAGCGCCGCCCGTAGTTCACTGCTCGCCCTCTAGCCTTGAGCAGTAGTGTCTAGCGTCGTCCAAGGGCCGTGACACTGCTACTCCACGGTTATGGGTGGTGACGCTTAGTGTCGTTGGGACCCCATCTCTTTGTCGTATCGTGCATTTTCTTCATTCTCTTCTCACTTGATCGAGGGTGGACTCAGTCTAGTGTTGTCATAGTGGTCTAGCTGTCAAGCAGTATTGCCTCGTGTTGGTCCCGAGCACCATGCCCGTCTTGCTGCCACACCAGATTAGGATAGTCATGTCGACCTTGGTTTCGAGTAGTATTGTCGTCGTGCCGGTCTAAAGTACCGTGCCCGTCTTGCTACCACTCCGAGTCGGTCATTGCATTGGTCGAGCTATCATGCTAGCCCCGTCCCCTTGTCAAGTACCCTCTTCTTTTCTCCTCTCATTCAAACCTTTCACTTCATCACCTTAACTTCTCACATTCTTAGCCATATGAATGTGTGTTGCCCTAAGATAAGGGTGGGCCTTTTGATCCACTTGCCTTGTAAATTAACTACAGTAGTGTTGTACAAAAAACAAGGAGATTTCAGGTCAAGGGAGGCGATTCCGAACCAGTTGAAGTAGCTGGGGGCTTTCCGTCATGATCTAAGAGGGCACCCGAGCGAGTCAGTAGTTGGATACCTTGTTCTTGAACAAGGTTCTCGAGAGAACGATCTCAGGTCCCGGGTCTTCCAAACTCGAGACACGTATAACCCAATCACCTAGATCCGGGGAGGCGAGATCGAGGCACCTAACCAACCAGTATCGCGAAGATGCCTAACTGTCGATCGATAAACATTCCACGGGTCAGGCAAGTTAGCATCACGAAGACCTCTAACAGTCAACATATAAGCAAAATATGGGGAACCAGGTAGGTTAGTATCACAAAGATGCTTAGCCGCCAATTGATGAGCATTCATGGGTCGGACAAGTTTGCATCACGAAGGCCTCTAACCGCCTACATATGAGCAGCACATGGGGAACCATGCAGGCTAGTATCGCGAAGATGCCTAACCACCGGTCGATGAGTAGGTGTTGGTATGCGAGGAATCTTTATGATCAAGGGTGAATGTCTTTCTTTATGTTGTGCGGGCCTTCAACTTCCCTCGGCAGGATCCTTGCATTTCACACTCACCGCTGGGGCAACTCTTGCTTAAAGAATGACAGCTCGAACTAGGATAAGTGCAAACTATTCACAGTGGCCTAGAACCCGAGATGAGGTCGACCTCAGGGTGACAGTCGGACCCCGCCTTAGCCTTTGTTGTCCACAATTTCCACTTTTGTGATGTATCCTTTCTCCTTCCCGCACTTTGTCCAGCCATCGCCTTGACACAATAACATTGGGCTATAGGCTCGAGAAGTGCAAAGGGATTTCCAATGCTCCCACCAGAAAGGATGTCGTACAACAAGCCACTGCTAATGCTACCTTTTGACGACCTGTGATTAATGCAAGGGTTCGCTCATCAAGATAAATAAAGAAGACACGAGAGTGAATGTGACAGAGACTGTGATATAGGATATATCCTTGAGAGAGAGAAGTCTCACTTCCTATACCCAACCAAAGATGATAGGTGAACTGTTCCCCAGTGGAGTCGCCAGATATTTGGATGCTTCGAAAATGTGATGCTTAAATTGATTAAAAAGTTTAAATAAACATTAGACTATATAGTTTCAAAATAAGAAATATATAGTTTGACACATTTCTAATATATTGACGTTAATAGAATATTTGGAATGTAATAAAACTGTATATAAGGATACAATGGAAAGGAAAAAGAAAAAAAAAAGGATTTCATGGGAAAAAAAGAAAAGAAAAGAATTTCATCATAGTTAAGAAACAATATTGAAGTTTGGAATGAATGTGATAAGTTAATTAGTATAGCTTAAAATTAAATGTAGGGTAAAAGTACAAAAAATTGCAAGTGAATTTCTATTGATTCACAACTTCTCGGCAATCCAAACAGTGGACATGCATATTCTATTTTTCTTATCAGGTGCTATCCAAACATCGTACACCCCTATCCTAGGGACAAGTCAATTATAGGAGAACCTAATCCCTAGAACATGCTTCTTTAAGAGATCGCTCACATGGCATATAGGACCCTCCTTATAGGGCAAGCCTAGGCTTGGCTTGGCTTGGGCCATGCCAAAGAGGTCTCGACTGAGGCCCCATCAAGGCCTTGCCGTGCTTAATTAAAAGTATAACAAATAAAAGAAAAAATAAATGAAAAGAAGGCTGGGGCGAAATGAACTTGGCTGGCCATGACCGAAGCCCTCTTAGGCCCTACCCTTGGGCCATAGTTGCCTAGCTATAGAGCTAGCCCAGCTCTCATACTATATTGTATAGCCTAAGCCTAGTTTTTAAGGCCGGGCCACCCTGGCCGATTATCACAGTCGGCCCCGTCATTCTCTCTGAAGGTTGCACCGGAATGGAACTTGAGACGTTGGGCTAAACCGCGGTCATGTTTCTATCTTGCCCTTAGCTTTAAACCCTCATTTGTGTACAGGTGATTATTCCGTCTCCTCTGATATTCTCGGGTAAGTGGAAGATGTTTCCTTTTCCACTGGATCTCATAAGCTTTCTTTTCAGGAAAATTTCTCCAGATTTTCCCCTGAATATTGTGATATATCAATGATGATGCTGAATTATCATGATTTTTCTGAGGAGTTAATGTGCTTTGACCAGTGGCATGCCATACCCCCTTCTTTTTCTCTGAACTCCCATTCAGGGAAGCCTGTTTGAGGCTTCTCCTGATATAATTCGCACAAAAATGAAAAATGCCTGCGTTACAATGTTTCTTTAGAATTGATTCCCTCAATCGAGAAATTTTCCCCTATAATACTCGTTAGGTTTCTCCTCAACTCCATTAAAGCTCATAGTTTGTCGTGTAAATCTGTTACTTGTGATGGTTTTTGATGATATTGGGGGGGTTTGGTGTTTCCTTTGCTGTTTTAGAACCTTTTTGCTTTCTTTTTAAGTCTGGCATATTTTAACCAAAACTGTCATGTAAAAGGAGTTACATAATGATTATGTTTCGGTATTGGATAAGTTGAGATCGGTATTGGATAAGCTGAGATAGCCAACGATGATTGATGAACGATTTTGTTTTTTTGTATTTTTTGAGCTGGTTTCGACAAACTAATATCTTTCACTTGTTTTTTCTACATTATGGTTTTGATCTATAGTTATGATTGATTACAGTTGTCTCCCTATCCTGCTTGTTGTGATGTAAGAAGAAGTTAATTGGATCATAGCCTGCAAGCATTGCTGATCTTTGTATTCAACATTCATAAAGTGGGCAACTAGTTTGTCATGTTTCTGTTTTCAGGTTATGCTAATCAAGAATGGGTTTGTGTGACAATTGTTCCTTGTTTTCATGAGGGCTGTTTGAGCTTCTGGATTGCGAGGCACAAATGAAAACCTGCAATATGCGGCTTTCCTTTCTGTAGTCTCATAGGATACCCAACTTGTCTAAATGAATACAATGCCACATTTGGATGGAAGGAATTCCCTGGTCATGCTAATTATTTACAGATCAAAAGGACATGTGTGTATATGCACATTGCCTTGAGAATTGTTCGTGAAATTTGCATTTCATGGATATGGGCAGAAATTATTTTGCCCTTGCTGCTGCCTACACGGCGATAAGCCTTATTGGGCTATCTTGGAGGGTGAATTTGGCCTTAGATAAGGTCATGCTGGATGGCTCAATTACAGATGAAGGGGTTCAATCCATTCAAGGTGCTCGTATACTAGAGCTACTGTTGGATTCATGCATCACAATGGTACTACTGGTCAATCTTGCTCTCAACATATTTGTTCTCATTACTCTTTGTATAAAGGTATGTTGCTTTCATGTATGCCTTAATTTTGTTGAAGAATTTCATGGATGTTCTATTTTGTTAATTATTTTTGTATAAAAAACATGAACCTTCTATGAGGGTTTCACTAAAGTGGGCAGCCCCAAAGATGAAGACAGTGAAACCTCTCCAAATCTGTCCAGAATCTGAGCAAAGTTTTTCATCTGATTTCTAGTTGCCCCAACATGCTATTTTTTGATGAATTTAGTGTTAAATATTGATTTTCACTGCAGGCGAGAATGGTTTGTTTTAAATATATGTTTTGCTTTTTGTTGTCTTACTTGTGGAATACACCCCTATGTATAAGAGTATCCCTATGCAGCTGTAGTCGTTTAGCATAGAACCGGAATGGCTGGCCAAAATAATGGTACAACTTCCTTGCGACCTCTCCTGCATTGCTTTCATTACGCTGAAGTTGAAAAGTTAAAGTACATAAGATTGCGCTCCATGATGTAATGTGAAGAATTGATGGGCCGCAATTGGTCTCCACGAGGATGGTCTCATATACTCATGGAAAATGAAATTTATCATGGCCTTTTTATTGGTGCACCACTTATACTTGCTATTGATGCTGATATGATTGGGTTATGGGCTTGCCAATAGGAAGGTGAATTTAATCACATGTGAGTTACTACAATTCAGAAATGTCTAGTTCTATTGATGCAGTGAGGTGTGGGTTTTCTTATTGAAGTATTAACAACTTTTTCCCCAGACACAAATATAGAGGGTATGGTTAGATTAATTCAAATAAGTAAAATAACAAATGAATGGATTTCTTTGGAGTCTGAACTGGTCTATCTGGGTGGCATTGAGAAAAATGCCTGAGGAGAAACTCTACCGTAAGCACCTAGAATATGTTTTGGACTTTTGAGGTTTACTTTTTTATTTATCTATTTTTATATTTTTCAATTGGAAGACTCTTAAAGAGTCCAGATATGACAAGAGAGCATGATTTAGGTGTTTGGATTGCTATCCCTGTATGAGGTCACTGCAACTAGATTTGATCTCCAGAAAATGGGATGACTTTGACTTGAATGAGCTAACTAATCTGTTTATAAGATGATTAAGATTCAACTTATAATTTTGCTCTTCTTCAACCTATGCATGGCTTCTCGACAACTATAATAAGTGAAAATCACTCAACTGATAGAAAATTTCTATGATTCCTTTCTGCTCCATATATAAGAAATACCATAGAAATTGGAAAGTTTCCATATCATGTTTATCTGGATAGCTCTGAATTATTAAGATTATTTTGCTTACCTGTACTTGTTAGTCTTGTGATTTTAATGTTATTTTCTTGTTGGCAGACTCTCTTTTTTGGACGATTATCTTCTCTTGAGACTCGAAAGCTAGTGGAGCGCCTGATCAACTATATTGTTTACAAGGTTACTTGTCTGGACTTGTTTTGGCAGAATCATTTTTCATTTGACTTTTATATAATCATAAGTTTAATCACTACATTGAATCATGGGGTCTGCTTGCAAATTCATCTTGTCAAAAGAGTCAATGCTATTTTTATTTGTTGAGAATAATTTATTTGTGGGGAATAGGAACCTTGCATCATGGGCAGGGTTGACATTTTGAACTTGCTGATATTAATTTTACTTGTTAAGTGAGAAGTATTTTTAAATTTGTAAATTGAATAGAATTATCATCCATTTCCCTGAAATGTTGTGCCATTGATGAAATAAAAAACAAATTCCAACTATGACTTGCAGAACCATTATCATTTTCTTCCTTTTATGTTTTGTTTTTAGCTTGTGTCTAGAATTGACTGATCAAGGAGAAAAAAACCAGGTTTCTGAAAACTGCTATGTTGGTGCATTTCATAAATGAGGCTTCTATGCATCATTGTTTGCAAAATCGCCTGATCTAGCCGCTAACCGCCCGGTTAGATTGGAACCGGCCACTAGCCGGTTCCGGTTTTGAGCGATTAGGGTGATCAACCAGTATTTTAAAAAAAAAATTCAAAAAAATGTTTATAAGTTCTCAAAAAAAGGAATTCGATTTGTAATGCATTTTTAAATATTCTTTTCATTATGGTAAATATTAAAAATTGTTTTGGTCTTTAATACTTGCTTTCATATTTTTCCATCTTTTTTAGAAAATTTTAAAAATAGCCCTTGGAAAATATAAAATGGGTTAAAATCTATTTTTTTCCTTAATTTTCAATTTCATTTGAATTGTGTTTTGTTTTAATCATTCTTCATATGCTTTTCATATTTTAGTAGATTTTTTTTTGTATTTTTTTATTTTTTTTAACATTTTTTTGACCACCTAGGACTTGCCCAGTTAGAGCAGTTGAATCGGCCGGTTTACCCTAGTTAGGCCGGTTAAACCGCTTCCCATGCCCATGTCCGGTTAACCGTTCCAGTTCGATTTTGCGAACACGGATATGCATTTGAAATAATATGAGTCGAAAATGGTTTTCATTTATAGCAAAATTGTAAATTGTTGAAGTATACTTCAGTATCTGTTATAATTTTGTGGAATCATGAGTAAGAAATTGGATATTATTGATAGCTGTACCTGAGTTGAATTTGGCTAGTGCTAATGTGTGCAATGCTTAGCCATTTTTCTTCACCTCTTACTCATTCTAAGCTGCATTTTCAGATCATCTGCCGCTTCTCATGTCTTTGGATATGAGATGCTTGTTTGTGGTTAAGATTCTTCTAAATCCTGAAAATAATATTGTTCTTTCCTTTAAATGTGTTTTATAAATTATTCCTCAAAATGTTCAATGCTCAAAACATCTCTTATCTGATTAGAATGAGCGAATATCTTTTATTTGGATTCAAAATTCCACATTATCTACCAGGATTGTGGGTCTTAGGGTTCTTGCTTTAGGCTTAAAAAAGTATATTTATGCAAATTGGGGGCGGGCATTTGATGAGTTGTAGTTTCTCCAGGAAAATTCAAGGTGTTGGGTTTCCTGTAAACTGGGAGTAGTAGCTTTGAAGTTGGGAGCCCTTGTTTGGTAAACTGTCTGGATTCCTTATTGCTGACAGTTTTCCTCATTTGGTGGTTAGGAGAGCTAGAAACTGCATGTTTTAACTGGTTTTCATGTAGTTCATTGACAAGAGTTCGAAGTTTTCCATTTTAGAAAGAGATAGGCTCTGGGAGATAGAGAAATATAGAGAGAGAAAGCTCAAGAAGAGAGAGAAAATAAGCTCTAGGCAGTGTTTCAAAAAGCAGACCGCCCAGCGCTTGGGCGGTTGCCTGGGCGGTCCAGAAGGCCTGGGAGCATCGCCCAGGCCTAGATGGCCAAATTAGGCGGGTATCCTCGGGCCCTCTTAGGTGCCTGCGCCGTGCCCAGGGGCCGAAATGCCGCTCGTTGAGGCCATTTTTGGGTCATTTTTTTTAATACTAAATGTGCAAAATTGTGGGTTTTAGGTTTCAAATTAACCTAAAACCCATTAGAGGCTATTTTAGAGAGATAAAAACCTCAAATTTTTTTTATTTTTTTAACTGGGCCGCCCAGGTTTTAGGTGCCCACTTGGGCGCTCGCCTAGGCACTGGGCGGCCTGGACCCTCCCGACTGCCTAGGTGCTGCCTAGCGCTTTTTGAAACACTGGCTCTAGAGATAAGCTCTTAGAGGGAGAGAGAGAAGCAGGCTTGCGAGAGAGAGAGAGAGAGAGAGAGAGAGAGAGAGAGAAGGGGGTGGTCTAGGGAAGATAGAGAGGGGATAGACTCTTGCTGAGATAGAGTAAGCGTTGTGAGACAGAGAGGTCGTAAAGATAGAGGAAAGGGTGTATAAAAGGGAGAGGGAAGCTCTCTTCTCTAGGGTTTAGCCACTAGGTTCTACCCAAAGTGGGTGGGCTGCTATAGTGTTTGCCTTACCCCTTTGGTCTTAGGGGGATTTGTTTGGGCCGCTATTTTCCAGGCACTCTCTTGTACCCGATGAACAAGATCATGCAAATTAAGTTCGGAAAAACCATAGAAAATGGTTGTTTTGAAAAGACAAATGGACAACTTGTGTTCATTGAATTCAGAAGAACCATTTTCTAAGGGCCTTTTTCAAAATTTTTGTCATTGTCTTCCTTGCTGTGTCCAGTAGACTCTGTGCAATATTTGGGGCCAAATAAATGCTCCTAAGACCCCTCCAAAATGGCGAAGGTGAATACTGTTAGTAGTTCCCTTGGGACTGACTAAATCTCTTTCCACTCTCTCTTTCTCTCTCTTGATGTGTCCGTGTCCGTGTGTGTGTTTTTGTTGTGTGTGTGTGTGTGTGTGTGTTGGTAGTCCCCTTGGGATTGACTAAATCTCTTTCCTCTCTCGCTTGATCTCGTGTCTATGCGTGCATGCTTAGGGAGGCTTGCGCTGGAGCATCTGCCACTTTAAGTTAGTGGTGTTTGTTGGACCCCACGTTTTACACACATCCTCAACTTATCCTAGCATTCAAAATGAATACAGTTGGAAAATGAAGAAGATATTTGTTCTCACAAAGATGTTAAGTTTCAGCTAAAAGGATATCGCTCTACCTATGTGCTATGGCCAACAGGCTTATGCTATAGCAGAAGTTCTTGGGCTTATGATATCTTCTTCCATACACATACACACACGCGCATATGAGAAAAGTTTAAATAAGGTGCCAACGTTATACTATACAACTAAGGGATGCCTCAAAAACCCATAAGAAAATGTTGTTCCGGCACTATAAAGTCCTCTTAATTGATAATCTTGACCTCGAGATGTGTGCTTATGAAAAAAAAGGATTTGAAGTCCTAAAATATTGCATGTTATAACGCACTATGTGGCTGTCCATTTTCAAGATTTTCAAGTGGGTATAGATCTGCACCACTTTTAGAGCTTTTAAATTACATAATCTAAGGTAGAAATGTATTTTCAGGTCATTATAGGGGTTTCTGGCATGCGAATTGCATCTTCATGTGGGGTTTGGAGGTGCCTTACTTTGATTTTCTAAGGTTGACGGCTTGGATAAACAATACCCTATGTACATAATACACACACACGCAGAGAGCGAGAGCGAGAGCGAGAGAGAGAAAGAGAGAGAGAGAGAGAGAGAGAGAGAGAGAGAGAGAGAACGTACGGGTACAAACTACTCCTACCCTAACATAGTATT